TATGACAAAAGTAATTATTAGAAGGACGTAAGAAGAAGAATAGGTGTGAGTGACATTTGTTGTAGTTGTAGTTGACATTAATGATTATGTGTATGAGGATGCGCTCATAGCGAAGGTCTGTAGTAGTAGTTATTTTACGTATTTACATGAAAGTCTGTAGTAGTTATTTTAAGTATTTACATGAAAGTCTGTAGTAGTTATTTTACGTGTTTACATGAATGGTTGTAGATCGGATGGTTTCCCAAATCCTACGTGAGGCTCATCTCAGCTGCTAGGAAACATCAAAGGTGAGAATCTAACCTCTGTCTATCTGTCTATCTGTCTATCTGTATATCTGTATATCTTCTGCTCTCTCTCTCTCTCTCTCTCTCTCTGTCTATCTGTATATCTTTCTNATGGCGCCAGTACGACGACACGTTTGCTTGTTTCAGACGACGGCGGCGCCCGAGGGTCTGCAGGCGCAGGCCCTGTGTCCTTGGAAAGCGAAGAAGGACAACCATCTGTCCTTCAGTAAGGGTGACGTCATCCTCGTCAAATATCAACAAGATATCTGGTGGTCCGGCGAACTCAACGGCAAGGTGAGAGTCGCCGGCGCCTCCTGGTGGCGGGACGCCTGGTCCGGGGGGGTGGGGTGCAAAACGGGGAGGGGTCGGGCGCGGCGCGTGAGTCGGTGACGTCGCGGCGTTTATGTGGGGTGACAAACTCAGGATAACAAACAGAGCGTTTGAATTCTATTTGTTATGTGATGCGTTCCTGCAGAAAATATTATGACAAAAGTAATTATTAGAAGGACGTAAGAAGAAGAATAGGTGTGAGTGACATTTGTTGTAGTTGTACTTGACATTAATGATTATGTGTATGAGGATGAGCTCATAGTGAAGGTCTGTAGTAGTAGTTATTTAAGTATTTACATGAAAGTCTGTAGTAGTTATTTACGTATTTACATGAAAGTCTGTAGTAGTTATTTACGTATTTACATGAAAGTCTGTAGTAGTTATTTACGTATTTACATGAAAGTCTGTAGTAGTTATTTACGTATTTACATGAAAGTCTGTAGTAGTTATTTACGTATTTACATGAAAGTCTGTAGTAGTTATTTACGTATTTACATGAAAGTCTCTAGTAGTTATTTAAGTATTTACATGAAAGTCTGTAGTAGTAGTTATTTTAAGTATTTACATGAAAGTCTGTAGTAGTTATTTTACGTATTTACATGAAAGTCTTTAGTAGTTATTTAAGTATTTACATGAAAGTCTTTAGTAGTAGTTATTTTACGTATTTACATGAAAGTTTGTAGTAGTTATTTTACGTG